GAAGAAACCGTTTAAATGAAACTTATTTCTCACCAAGGGAATGTGGGTGGTTTTCTACTATGTAAGTGGCATGCAAACTGGCAGGACCAAGGAATGTAACCAATCCAAGCACTTTCTATGGAAGTAGCAATAGAACAGCAAGAGGCTTACCACCTACAATTTGTCAGAGAGAGGTTGGAGGGTGGAGAATAATTTGTCACCCACAAGGACCCAGAGATGCTTTTGAACTCTATCAAGGCTGGAGTGTGAGGCCTGGGCAACTCCCATCCAAATAGGACAACAGTACTCCATTTCTGGCCTGATCTGGTTCTTGTAAAGGTAGAGGATAGCAGGAGGAGTCGACTACTTACTAGAACAGTACAGGGACCTGACAATTTTACCTACATCCTTAGCAATATGTACATGTTATAGAGAGAGAGATTCACTCTAATGAATGGTATGGACTTAGTGAAATATTCTATCATGTATTATGGTATAAATCCTGAGGAAAAAATTTTTAAGAAAAAAGGTTTTATAAATTTAAATCAATAATGTCACTGACTGCTTTGTCAATTAATACCGAATGTTTTCTTATAAGGAAACAGTTAATATTATCATTACAATTACTATAGATGAACTTGTATTAAGATTTTACTGGACTTAAATGAAGAACTGTTTCTCTATTGTTATTAAGTACTACACTGATTTCCAGTGGAATTATTATTGGAAGAATATATTTAAAGACTCACATGTGAAAGTATTCTCATAATCAACAACAAAAAAAAAAATGCTGCCATTTTGGACAGTATAATTAAATGAGTTAATTAATGATATTGCATCTCTCTGAATTTCTGAGAGTTATCATTATTTACATTATTTACAGATGCAATAATATCCTTATCTTTGTTGTTGCTATCCCAGCATTTCAGCTGGTTTCTCCTACAGCCTTCATCAGGTGTATGTTGATCCAGGTAAACTTCAGGGAATTTCAAAACCTTTATTTAATCAATGGCAGTAGACTGTTCTTGTTCTATGGTTGATATTTTCATGGGAACTGCTTTGATGAGCTTTTTCCCCTGATGCCCTGATAGCATGAATTTAAGCCTGCAACAAGATGGGCATCTAGGTTCTGCCCCTTTACTGTTGAAATATAACCACCACTTCTGCTCCAATAGTTTCATTTCTTGCACTTCCTACCCTTGAATGTTACCCAGAACATTATGATATGCACAACAAAGATAAAGATATTAGTCTGATTGTAAATAATGTAAATAATAATAATAATGTTTTTAATTTTTCAGTAGGGAAATAAGATTTTTAAAATTTGTTGTAAAAATTTCGATCTGTATTTCTTTAGATTATTTCAATAGTGCTTGTCTTTTTAATGAAATTAAATAGACAGAAAATATAATTTTACAGTCTTTCAGTAGGCTGCACGTTTTTTAAGAATTTAGAAAAGCAGTCTGTTTCAAAATCTATTTCAACAAACAAATACATAAGCATATTACAATCTACAGCTTTAAGTCAGAAAATTGTACTCACGTTCAACGCATATTGGTCCCATGAAACCAGCAGTGCAGACACATTTGAATTCCTCCCCATGATTTTTACATTTAGCCCCATTTTTACATGGCAAAAGTCCACATGGATTTGCTGGAAAACAGAAAAAAAATTCAACGTCAATTCAGAAATGGAAATATTCTAATATTCGAATTATTGTCAGTTCTCAAATTTTTATCTGAATTTATTTTTTAAATCCGTACAGAATAACTTTTATTGAAAATCAAATTAAAGCCAAGAAATAACTTATAATGAAAAGTTTGAAAATATTCTATGCTTTTACACAGAATAGCATACCCATCTTGTTTTTTTTAGTAACACTATTTTGGAATTTTTGAGATAAAATATTATTATTATATAGTGATCTATCAAAGTCACCTTGGCTGTTATAATCACTATGTTTTTGGTATTTTTGAAAACAAGAATTTATTATTTTGCATGGATTATTTGTTTTTCATTTTATGTTTTTTTAATTTTATTTTATCTTTTACAAACTGATGCCTTTCTAATGTATTCATTTTACAAAAAAATATTTTAAAATAAAAAACAGCCTGATTAAAAATAAAAATTTAGATACCAAACAACTGTTTCTGTACCAACTTAATAACTTTATTAAAGAAAAGCAATGATTACTTTATTTCTACTATTATTAAAGAAAAGCAATCAGTGTAAAGTAATGATGCTCAATGTCGTAGAAGGAAATGACTGAAAAAACATACAATTTTTAATTTTTGCCCTTGTTATCCTCAAAAGTCCCAAAATACTTTTCTTATACATTATTTTCTTTCATTCCCACCTGAAGAATCACAACAAACCTCAGATCAGCAAAAAGCATAATGTCAAAGTATCATATTCCATGCTAATAGGAATATATACTTGAAAAACAAGGTGGATAGAATATGTAAGAATAAAGGTAATAGTTATGCACAAGGTTGTCACAAGTCAATTCAGTAGTGAGTTCTACCATTGGAAAGTTGGTAGTTCTTGCATAATTCTGAGTTGTACTCAACAGATTTCAGCTAGACAATATTTACCAGCCTCCCCACAAGGTAGGCTGTGGCACAAAGCCAAATGTAATGTGGGGCAGTCTAAGCCTGTAGGCTCGGCCAAAAATTCCCCGTAACCTCCCATAAACAGGATCAGGACTGTCTACCTCCATGGACAAGACTGCTCTTTGGTATAGCCTCATCTGGGTTTCTCTCTGCCCAAAGGCAGAGAGTTCAGCAACAGCCAAGATCTGAGTAACAGATCCCAGCTAGAGTATCTAGCAACTACCCCACACAGTCACATATGGCACAAAGCTGAATTTAATGTGGGGTAGGACAAGTCTGTAAGCTCAACCAAAAAATCCCTGTAGACCCCCACATAAATGGGATTGGGTCTGTCTACCTCCCCGAATGAGACTCTGCCCTTTGGCATAGCCTCATCCAGGTTCAACAGCACAGCTGAAAAGATTTCAGCTAGAATATTTAGCCACCTCCCCACACGAGGTTTGCATGTGGCACAAGGCCAGGTTTTATGTGGGTTCTCGGAGCCTATAGGCTTGGCCAAAAAATGCCCATAGAACCCGCATAATGGGATTGGGTTGGTGAACCTCCCCAAATGAGACTTTGCCATTCAACTGAGCCTCGTCCTGGTTCCTCTCTGCTCAGAGGCAGAGAGTTCGATCGTCTAGCCGAAAAGATTTTGGCTAGACGGTATTTACTAGCCCCCACCCACCACAAGGATGGATGTGGCACAAGGCCGAGTTTTACATGGGTCTTCCAAGCCCATAGGCTTGGCCAAAAAATTCCCGTAGAACCCGCATAAATGGGATCAGAGGCACAGAGTTTGACCATCAAGCCAAAAAGATTTCGGCTAGACTCTGTAGTCCATTGACTTACAGATACATATAGGTAGTTACTACCTATAGTGTAGTCACTCATGGGGGTGACAGGTTATTCCATTACATCATAAAGCTTTTCATTATTGTCTTATTATCTCTACTGATGTTTCAGATACTATGATATATTCTACAAAGACACAATTTTATATTTGTATCATTTTCTTCTATTCCTAAAGCTCAAAGTTTAAATAATATAAAGACTCACGTTCAATACAAGTTCTTCCCATAAATCCAGCTGTACACACACATCTGAATGAATCATTATCATTGAAGCACTTGGCACCATTCATGCAGGGTTCAAGTCCACAAGGATTGACTGCAAAAGCAAATTTTTAGGTTTAACCATTGATTAAAATTGAACTCAGAATTGTAAAACTGAAAAATAAAATGGATCAATAAATTGAGATTTAACTCACTTTCAGAACAAATTATTCCTTTGAAACCGGGTTTACATTTACAGAAGAATTTTTCTCCATCATTAATACATTCAGCACCATTTTTGCATGGTTTCAGTCCACAAGGATTAGCTGCAAAAAATAAATAACAAAAAAATATACACTTTCGAATATAAAAATCAACAATATGCATTCTATCAAAATATATTATTCGTTCATATCCTTTTTTTCTAGCTTTTACTCCAAAGATTATTTCATATATATATATATATATATATATATATATATTAAATAAAAACAGACCACTTTAAGGTTCCATGTAATAAATTATTTCACCACAGCCCTTTTAAAAGGACTACGGATCATCAGACTTTACTTCCAAACAAAAATTTTTTTTTTTTGCGACACATGCTCTCCAGCTATTGAATCACTGGAAGGGTTTTCTCTATTATAAAATCCTTCCTAACAGGTAGATCCCTGAAGGTAGTTATTAATGGCCAATTCACCAAGGGCTTGGCCGTCAATGCAAACGTCCCCCAGAGGTCATTTAACTGATCATTTGTAAACATCTATGCCAATGATACGATGTTATCAGAGATTGGCAACTGACCTCACATCCAGTCTAACACTAACTTCACAGTGGGGACAAAAACTGGTTGGTTACATTCAAATCCTTTAAAACCAAATTGGTTACATTGGTTACATTGCATCACCAATCACACCCTGGACTACCACCAGTCACAATGAATGAATGTCCCCTCAAAGAGGCACCATGCCTTCAGAGAATATTGGGTCTCAAACTCACACCTGACCTCAAATGGAATTCTTAAATATGATCCATTGCTAAAGATGCAGGTAAAATGATCAGCTCCCTGTACCACTCCGGTTTGTAAATATTTTATGGTCATCAAACTAGTGTAGGGATATAAAATGCAATTATCTCCCTTTGGTTGAGAAGAAGTTACATGGTTTGCATGGTCACTTAGTGATGGCACTTCACACACAGACTGATGAAAGTGGATAATCAGTTAGCTTCCAGGAGTCAAACTGAGCAGTTGCTCAGGCTGACGTTAAATCTGCTACCTGCAGCAGTTTACAAGCCTTTGATGAAGTTTTCCTATAGAAATATATCTTCACTAGATATAGAAACTGTCACCAGCTTGCAGTCTGGCCATTTCCTATTTTGAGAGGAATATGTCCTTGCTAGTGACATAGTAGTTAAATCCAACCCACTCAAATTTGGAATCCTAAATGTGGCTTCTCCAGAAACACAGAAGAATCTCTGGCAGATTAATTCCTGTTGGGAATTATTACAAGTAAGGCTATCCTTTCACTCTGATTGTTGTTGCATACATGTTAAGTTTCTCTGCATATGTAAATTTGTATATATAATTTTGTGTATGACTTAGCGGCATAAAAATCCCACTGAGAAACAAGCATGTTTATTATTTCTTTCCTTTCAGCCATTCCATTCCATCCATGAAATAAAATCTTATTATATCATGGATATAATAATATCAGTCATGAGGAAAATAGAAACTGGGAGAATAAAACTTTCTTCCATAGCTCACCCATTATCTGGTGACTTACATAACATGATATATAGGCATGTGGAGGAGTGGTTAGAATGTTTGCTTTCTGACCATGAGACCTGGGTTCAAATCTCACCATGGTCAATTTGTCAGGAAAGAGACTTCCTAATTTTATCAGTCTGAATGGGTGACAATCCCAGCATGCAGCATCTTTGGAAAGTGCCTGAAAACCATACCACAGATTTACCCAAGTCTTATGAGTGAAATTGGGTAGACGGAACACTTGACGCCATTGATAGCTGTGCTAGCATGAAGTCACAAGTCATCCTGACCAAGGGTTTGCATATGCTGGCATTGTTCAGGTTGTTGATCATTCTAGATAACACACTCTTTCCTAGAAACTGTAACTAAGGTTGGCTATGTAGGTGTTGAACAAATGCAAATGTGCCTGAGCGAGAGTCTGCAATAGGGATTGGCTGGCCACCCTAGTGGACGGATATCCTCGAATATGAGCGGCCAGCTATTAAAATTACATAACATGATAGTATTTAACCTCCATTACTAGCAAGAAGCTTATTCAATCATTAACTTAAAAATTATGAGTCATCAGAAATTTCAAGTAGGAAAACCATGAAATTTTCACAGTTATTTCTAGCGATTATTATTATTATTATTATTGAGTGAGTCAGCAGTGTGTTAAAAAACTGATACCAGGCTACAAACATACAAAGCTCAATATCTCTGTACAGTAAAATAAGGGTATACTAGGTACATACAGCACAGCCAAATGTGCATGATATGCTTACAGGTTTTGATAAAAGTAACTCATAACTTTGAAAATATGACTTCCCTCTGTCTTTTCTACAATTATTGGCATGGCAATTGCTCTGGCAAGCCTTTCTCCCTGGTACTCCAACTACATGAACTTAAGCATGCTACTAGATTGGTATTTAGGTCCCACCTTTTTACTGTTGAAATAGCTAGATTCAACCACCACTTTATTGTTTCTTTTCTCATCCTTCTCCCCTGCATAAGTCCCTTCTGCTTACTTGCTTCCCTGATAACTACAATCTTCAAAAATTTAAATGTAAGATCAATCATCATGTTCTGCCTTCTGTTCATCTTTTTTTTCCTTTCCTCCATCCTCCTTATTCTTTGTTTTCTCTTTCACTTTCACTCCCTGTAATCCCCTGCACACTAGTGGAATTCCCACCTTGCTTGGAGTAAAATGATTAAAAAGAAAAGTGTCTAGCTAGAAATACCTCCATGTTGGATAAACCAATCTTCTCAGACTGGCATTTGGTTGAGGGTGTCCTTAACTATCTAAATGTTTCCCAAGTTCTTTTGGCTGCTTTATAACGAACTTAATAATAACATACCCTCTCAACACGTGACCATAATGTTTCCCCACAACACTTCCTCATAAACAGAGACGTACTATGTTTCAATCCTTAAATGACATTCCATATTTGTTAAATTCATCAACTGGCAAGCAACTCTGTCGTACTGGGCATAATATTTACCATAGCCCATCTTAATTCACCAAGAGTGTTCTGGGTATGATGATAAACTATATCTGGCAGTAAGGAAACTGAAGGTTTTGAGGAGAGTGGAACCACCTCTTAACTGCTATTGTTCCCAGGTCCACCCTGACTCAGGTTAGTAGCACCTGTTAGATTTTCAGTTATAGTGAACTCCCAAACAAAAATCAAGAGCTCATTTTTATAATTAAATGACCAACAATATATTTGTATAGCAAAGTGACAATCAATGCAACACCAAAAAAATGTAAAAAAATCTATTTTTATCATAAAATTACCATTAAAAAACATTGCTTCAGAGGTCCCTCAGAGATTAGGGGCCCTGAACCTTAAGCCTCATTTGTTTTATAGTAGATGTCTCTTCATACAGAAAACCACTATAGTCATGATGGCTTTGATGATAAACTACATCTAGCAGTAAGGCCTCTGATCAGAAAATTAGAGGTTTTGAGGAGCATGGAACCACTTTTTAATTGTCGTTGTTTCCAGGTCCACCCTGACCCAGAGGGGTAGCACCTGTTAGCATCCCAGTGATAAGCAAATAGTGAATCCTCCAAACAAAAATCAACAATACATTTTTTTATAAAATGACCAACAATACATTTTATGATCTACTAACTATATATCTAAAAAAAAAATACCTTTACTCTGAAAGTATAAAATAATGTAAAAAATATGTTGTTGACAGCATAAATTTACATACAAAATATTTAGATTTTGGCATTAAATAACCCATAGAAGTTGATATTCAGCTGAACAAAATCAGTCAACCAAAATCCACCAGGACCAAAACATGTTTGATAATACCTCCAATCAGTTCAGACCAAAAGACAGGAGAGCAATGCTTTTTGAAGCATCAGGATATTTATTTATATTATTATTATTATTATTATTATTAGATTCTCTTTTTTTTTTTTTTTTGCCTCTCATTGTCATCTAGCAGGCATGAGATACCCGCCAATTTTAATGTCCCAAAATATATAAATAAATTTATTTTCTGCAATTTTAGTTTTCCTTTCATCAATAAAACCAGTTAAATTTTATGTTTCCTCTTATGGCTCATAAATTTTGCTTGTCTTACTTTCATTATTACGATGTGTTCTAGCCTGTATGTCTCTTCATACAGTGTCAGATGAAAGATAATGCACCAGAAAATAAATTGTTGAATATTTGAAATTTCTAAATAAAATTAACCAAATTTATATTTTAGCTCATTTCTTCTGCTTTTCACTGTATTATATTTTCTGTTTGAGTAAAAAAAAATGAAATAAATAGCAACATATTAGCAGCCTGGTTTCCCCAACCTTCTAATGATATTGAACAGGAGTAGAGGTTTAGAACTGCCTTTTCAGTTCCTTTTAAAGTTAAAGTAGACTTTAGAAAGAACTGGAAACTCAATCCTAAAAGGGTAATAAGGAATATCATCTTGTTCCCACCTTCCCTGGTCATTTCAACAGGATTTATAGTGATTTATACCTTTTGTGGGATTGTGCTTGCCATTTCTTCAAAGTCTACTTCAACTCTATACTTTTAACCTCTCTGCCTAAACTCTAACATTTTGTTTACAATTTATTTATTTTCTTTTTTTTTTTCCTCAATTTCAGCTATTGTCCAGTTCACACTCCTCCCTGGGTTATGGATATTATTAAAGGTTTACCCCTTGTTTTCTGTTTAAGATTGGGGTTCTGGTTCCTTCTAAAGTCTTCTCAATTTTTTTCCTCCCAGTAGCTCCTTGCATTTTAGTGGCATTATTGCCTTGCTTGGGGTGAATTGATTAAAATAAAATTAAAAAAAAATATTCTGGAATTATATTAACACTTATTATGTTGAGCAATGACTATTTACCTATTGTGATTAATAGTTACCATAAGAAAAGAATATCTCATTAGTAAGTAGGGTTAGTCATCCTGTATAACCAGTAAAAACCAGTAAAATCTTCACACAAAACATGATGTTAATTGCTGTTCCAGATACCTTTCATTCATTCTTTACCAACAATATAGCATGAATAAATACTACTTCCTCTACTGCTCGGTAACATATAAATCATCTGGGTTGTGTTTCAAAAGAGTAGAATCACTTCATCAGCTTCTTCCCAAGAACTGCTACATGTGGAACTGACTCTCAGCATGATGTTTTCCCAGTCACTACAATCAGGAGCTCATCAAGGATTAACTATTATATTTCCTGCATAATATAATGAACTTCACTTTTTGTTTTTTCTTCTCCTCATACAACACCATACAGTAATGCTCTACCTGGTGAGGCTCTTGGTCTTTCGACTGTTTGAACCACAGTATAAAAATGTTTGGACGAGCCCCATTACACTGCAGGCTTTCTAATAATTAAACTGTCACACCACTGTACACACACAAATACACACAAACACACATACACACACATGTTATATATATATATATATATATATATATGTCTTTGTCATGTTCTATTGATAATGTTATAATTTATGAACATGTCCTGAAGATGGTTTATTAGACCGAAACGTCCGACGTTGACATATTAACATTAAAATAGTATAAATTGTATATAAGGATTTTTGTTTGTTTTTTCCGTATATATTTTTCTTCATACTGTCGGATTTATATCCATATATTTGCTTACATATATATATATATATATATATATATATATATATAATGGATTTTACTCTTTAATCTGGCATTATTTCTGATTACTCTAAATGTTATTTTAGTGTAAACCTATCTTTGAGTAAACGCCTTTTAATTTTAGACAGCGTGTATTACATCTACTGATCACTGCATTCAATAGATGCAATCTACTCTGTTTAAATAAAAAGCATCCAATGAACAAATATTTTATAATAATATGATATATATATATATATATATATATATATATATATATATATATATATATATAGTCTATTATTAATCATAGTCAATAATTTTACTTCATAATGTAAAAAGGTGTACATTTATTGTAATATGTAACTTTGGTATGTAATTATTTACTTACGTTCAACACAGTTTGGTCCCATGAAACCAGCTGTACACACGCATTTGTATTTCTCACCATCATTGAAGCATTTAGCACCATTTTTGCAGGGCTTGAGTCCGCACGGATTTGCTATTTGATAGAGAAAATATTTTCAATGCACGTTATTATAATGTCATGACATTTTTATAAATATGTTTTTAATTTTAAATGCCTGTTTAAGATTAACATTTCTTTCATATAATTTTTACAGGGCTCAAAGGTTTGCTATTTGGTAAAGATAAATTATTTTGAATGTAAATATTTTTAATTTAATGTCATTTCTATAAATAAAAAATTCATATCCAGTTTAAAGATTAAGACTTCTTTAATATAATTTTAGCAAATTCCAAATTCAAATGAGATGGATATTTGGTAAGGAGAAATTATTTTAATGTAAATATTTTTTAATTAATGATATATTTTACAAATGTTAGGATTTTACTGCTAATTTTCTTTTAAAGATGAACACTTCTTTAATATAATATTTGCAGGGCTCAAGTCTACATGGATTTGCTATTTAATATAGATAAATTATTTTCAAAGTATTTTTTAATTTAATGACATTTTTATAAATTATATGACTTTAATGCTAAATGGATTTGCTAAAAAGACAAAAATATCCATGATACATTGACACTAAATTCCTTTTAAACATTAAGACATCTTTAATCATTTTAGCAGGGTTCAAATTCACATGGGTTTGTGATTTGATAGAGAAAAAGTACTTTTAGCAGATGTATTTTTAATTTAATGACATTTTAATAAATTGCATGTGAGGCACCCAGTGAGGATCAAACTCACTACTCAGTAGTAATGGTCAACCAAATCGGCTCACTGACTAAGCTTAGTTTTGGCACAAGGCCGCAATTATGGGGTACCCAGTGAGGATCAAGCTCACTACTCAGTAGTAATGTTCTAACCAGAGTAGATCGCTATCATTTCACACTTAGTGAACCTAATAGTTATTTACTGAGTTTTGGCATAAGGCCACAGTTATGGGGAACCCAGTTAGGATCAAACTCACTACTCAGCAGTAAAGGTCAACCTAATAGGGTAATTAACCATTCACAAGGCATGTCACCTAAAACTTCACTTAGGCTCAAGGACAAAAGTATAGTACACTCAGTGAAGATTGAACTTAGTGATTTCAATCTTCACTGAATGCCATATACTTTTGTCCTCATTTACAATAGTCAACCAGACTAGCACGCTAAGCATTAAACATCTTTCTGGGGCAACTTTTAACCCAAAGCCACAGCTATAAGGCACCTAGTGAGGTTAAAACTTACTGCTCTGTAATAACAGCATTTATGTTTTTTATATGCTGTATACTTTCAGGAAATGGGTGATTCACAATCTTCAATTCTTTGTCACTCTTTGGAATATCTACTTTTTTACTATCCTTCCATCTCCCTGTTCTGCCAGTCATTTATACAATATTGTTACTTGCTGTTTATCTTTGTCCTTCTTATCTTCAGAACGTCCTGTGAGTGTCAAATTTTCCAAGCCCTCTTTACCCATTATGTCCTAGAAATTTCAACTGTCTTTTTCTTAAACTGAGCACAAGCATCCTTTTTGTTTCCATTTTATCTAAAACTTCTGCATTGCTCGGATGGCATTCTCAGCATTCTTGCATAGGACTACATCTCTGTTGTCTCAAGTCTCTTCTTCATCTGTGAGGAATTTGTCCAGGATTCACTGCCATTATGTAGCAGTTCTGCACTCTTTTCTTTGTTTCTAATAAAATTTTCCTGTTTTCCAATACTTTGCTTAGCTTTTGAAAAGCATCTTTTTCTACACCAGGACAGATTCTCTGTACTCTGTTATAACATTTTGCAGATAGATAAACTTCTGTACATGCTTGATTCGTCACTCACATCCTCGGTTCTTATTACTTTTTTACAAATTTCTTTGAAATTTAAATTACTTTGGTTTAATCCATGAGTATAAGTCCCCAGTGAGGATTAACAAGTATTTAAGAGAAATGAGGATTGATAAGTATAATTATTATTTTGCAACTTGACACTATATACTTACGTTCAACACAAGTTCTTCCCATGAAACCAGCAGTACACACACAACTGAATGTCATATCCTGATTGAAACATTGTGCACCATTCTTGCAAGGATCCAGTCCACAAGGATTAACTGGAAGAGTGAAAATAATTTTTTAATCAAATTCATCCCATATAAGGCAGTAAAGCCAGACAAGGGGTTACTGGGTGGGAGAGAATTAGAAAACAGAAGCATTAATGAGGAGCGAGAACAACAGAAGTGTAATGAGTAAAACATAGATAGTGATTGATATTGCATTTAACTTTTTGAAGACCAAACTTGTCTGGAAAGCAAGAAGCTGGAAGAGAGTTCCATGTGCAAGAAGTGCAAGAAAAGAAACTGTTAGCATTGAACTTGCGATTACATCTAGCCAGTTCAACTGTAAACCGATGAGACCTTGTTGCTAATCTAGTACTGTATTTAAATTCATAAAATCTAGGTACCATAGCAAAGAGTTCATCTGAACAATTACCATCAAAGTATTTATAGAAAAGGCACAGGGAAGCAAATTTATAGCAGTGGGAATTTGACTGAAGCCAAGATACGAGGTCAGGACTAATAATATTAATGATTTTTCTTTGTATTTTATCAAGACTCTCTAAATATAAAATAGGGCACTTGGACCATATGTGGCAGCAATATTTGAGGTACAGATGTATGGTAGACTTATAGATATGAAAAATAAATTCAGGTTTGGTAAAAAGTGGGTTACTGACTGCAACAAACAAATTAAGAAGCATTGTGCGTATAACAATCAAGATGAAGATCTCCTTTATGTTCCATGCTTCTTCAGGATGTAGGCGATCATGGCTCTCCAAAATTTCCTGTCCTTTGTAGTTCATAATAAATTACATCTTTTAGTTACCTCTCCTAAAACTTGTCCTGCCATCCATTTACTCAAGCCCACCAGGTACGTTATACAATTTTTTCTTCTGTCACTCTTGCCCTCAATCTGTTCTGTGAGTATCCAATTTTCCAGTCATCCTGGGTAAGACGTTAAACTACATCCAGCAGCAAGGCCTCTGATCAGGAGCTTTTAAGGAGTGTGGAACCACCTCTTAATTGCTGGTGTTCCCAGGTCCACCCTGACCCAGGGTGGTTAGGGTTCCAGCTATAGGCAAATAGTTAACTATTACCAGCAATACTTTTTTGAAAAAAATTATTACCAGCAATAAAATTTTGAAGGAAAAATATTACCAGAAACAAATTTTTTACAAAACAAAGTATTACCAGCAATAAAAATTTTTGTCACCATTAAATAACCCATTGAGGTTGATATGCTGTTAAACAAAATAAACTAAACCAATCTTAACCAAAGAATACATATTCTATTCATACGAATCTGCCCTAAAAATGCTGTTGGCATTAAATAACCTATTGAGGTAGATATGCCATAAAACAAAATAAACCAAACCAATCGAAACCAAAGAATACATATTCTATTCATACGAATCTATCCTAAAAATGTTGTCGGCATTAAATAATCCATCGAGGTTGATAGGCCATAAAACAAAATAAACCAAGCCAAACCTATTTTCCAAACTCTCTTTCCTCATTATGTGCCCTAGATATTTAAGCTGTTTCTTCAAAATGTTAAGTATGTTGCATTTTTTTTTTCCATTTGTCCACATGAATGACGGTAAGAGTAACAGAGATGGTACTGTGATGGCAAACACAGAAAGTAAACTGCATAAACTCCTAGACAAAGTAGTGAAGAAAAGTGAGAAGAAAGCACTATCAATAGTAAGATAAGAGAATATATGGTTATTAGCATTTGGGGCAGACTATGATGAGAGTTACAAATTGGAGATGTCAATCTCAAGCTAGTACAGAAATTTAACTATTTAGGAAGTGTTTTAACAGACAATGGAAAATATGACTTCAAAATTCAAAGCATGTTGGAATAGCAAAAGATTCCTTCCTAAAGCTAAACAAAGTACAAATGAAACAGGGAAAATCCATTAGAAACAAAGTAAGTGTTGCACTGCTATGTAATTACATATATTCTCTATGGCAGTGAATACTAGACAGTTGCCTCACAGATGAAGAAGTGACCTGAGGTTTTCAAGAGACATAGTTTCCAGAAAGATACTGAAAATACCATAAACAGGACATGTGAGCAATGAGGAAGTTTTAACAAAAATCTGAACAAAACAGACATAATTCAAATCAGAAATAGTTAAAAATTCTGGGACAGATAAGGAAGAAAGAGGGCATGCGGAAGTTAAGTAGGTCAGAGGGAAACAGTGACTAAACCAAATAATGGATCATAGAATATGGACTGGGTGGAATAGTAAGGAGACAAACATTCTTTAGAGCTACTTGGGACAGGAAGTTGTGGAGAGCCATGTCTTGAAGCAATACCGTATATCAAACAAAGATAAAAATTCTGAAATTTTGAAAACTTCACAGAAACCTGCCTGAATGTCTGAAATGAGGAGTTATCATTTTATTTACATTCCTTCTGTTATCTTCACTGGGACAATGACCAACTGGGATAAGGCATTGGTTCGTGAATATGAAATAGGTAGTAAAAGATGAAACTAAGTTGAAAATAAAAGAAATCCCTTGACAACAGAACAAGGAAAATCTTACCCCAAGGATAAAATAAGACTTCAGCTGAAATTGTCTGAATGACATTTGGATTGGCAGACACCTGAAGTAGGACAGAGGTTATAATAGTCGAAACATTGTGATGACAACAAAAATAAGGAAATTAGTTGGAATGTAAATAATTACTGCAATTTGGATTGACACATGACATAAAAAGGCCTGTGGGTATAATGGCTGAAATATTGTGTTAAGTACAAAAATGAGGAAATTAGTTTGAATGTAAATAATCATTGCAAACTTGGATCATCAGATGTCTGAAGAAAGACAGAGGGTATAATGGTCGAAACATTGTGATAACAACTAAAATGAAGAAACTAGTCTGAATGTAAATAATTACTGCAACTTGGATTGTAAGATGTCTGAAGAAGACCAGAGGGTATAATGGCCAAAACATTGTGATAACAACTAAAATGAAGAAATTA